AGTCCAAACAAACTCGTGTCATTATTCAGTTCTTATTTAAGAGTTAGTCCCCCTTTAAACATCTTTTAATATTGTTTGTGGTGTTTTTAATACGCTTTAAGACACACCATGTGTAAGTTCATAAGTCGACAGCATTGCTGAGTATTTTCTGCTTAAAACTGCAGTGAACCAAAGACAGTCTCAAAAACACGGTTTGAAATCGCTGGTGTTTCTGACGTCACAAACGACCTTGTAACCAATCAGATCAACGTGTGATCGTCAACCAGTGGATCTCTGAGCTGAGTGAGTGGAGGCGGGGCTCATTTGCATATTCATAGAACCGTGATACTACATGAGGCGAGGGTGTCGAGTTACATTCAAGATATTTTAAGACAAAAACGCTTAAATATGTCATTTTGGAGATCAAAGATGAGTTTTAAGGGATACAGTTATTGACTAGAAGGGAACTTTAAGCTAATTTTCGCGGGCTAAACTCACGTGATCGAGAGTTCCCGCGCAGATTTCGCTCATTTTCAAGTTGGTCACGGGAATTCGCGGCGTTCAATCACCACATTATTATTTTATTTTTTTACAATAAAGCAGACATTTTGCATTTTTGCCAAAATATTTAGAAAGAACTATATTTGTGCTGCTGCACAAAACACTACAAAAGTACTACCATGTGACATCTATGGTAATACCATGGTACGTTTGAGGAACCCGGGTGCACCAAATAACTTTGAATATGAATATGGTGATAATTCAGTACTGTGATATCAAACGTCCAGCATTATAACCATATGTTATTATAACAGTACTTTTGTAAGTGTGTTTATAGTCCGCTTGAACACGGACACGCGCACCGCCGCAGGCCTCGTGTTACACACATTTACAGTCACTCATACACGCGGGTAAACACACATTTAGACGGTTAGAGCGCCAGAATAATGTAAATAATGTCTGAGTGTGTGTGTGTGTGCAGCGCTGCTGTGTCCTCCACTATCCCATCATTCTCTCTGGAGCAGCAGCAGCGCAGGCTGGGATACTCACCACCGCCAGCGGCCCGACATGCACCGCGACACACGGCAGCGCGGCCCGCGCGATCAGTGCTACGGTGGCCGCAGTGCGTCCGTCCTCCGGCAGGCGGCGCTGCACTTCCGCAAACTCGTTTAGAAAAGATGAACAAAATAACTATATTGTTTATAAATTATTTTATGTCAATAAATAACCTTATAACCTTATTCCAAGAAACGCATTCAATAAAAAACAAAATGACAAAGATATAATTAATTTAAAAGTAGTAAAGAAAAATAAAAAGTAATCTAAACAGCATTATCGAAGCGATTTTTATTGCAGACTAGAGTAGTAATAAAATAAATGTATTTATTAAAATAATAAAGTTCAGTGTAGCGAGGAGTGTTAAACATCACACAGATGTGTGGGAACATCTCAGTATAAACATTGTTTTTGTAATGATTGATGTACTATTTTCCCATTTCTGTTAACGGATATGTAGTTTTTCCAAAGATAATAAATACTATAAATATGTTATACAACAAATAATATAACAGATTGCAGGATTTTGTAAGGTGAATGTTCATTTCGAAGTATTTAGCACATAATTCTTGTGAAGGTGTATTAATGTTTGAGCCACAGCGCGCCCCCTGCTGCCCTCAGGGAGAATCACGTCACATCCTCCTCCGGCTTCTTTAAGCTTCTGCAAACCGGAACCGGAAGAATTTGGTAATACTGTTTTTGGGGGGGGGGGGGGGGGGTTTGGTAATACTGTACAATCGCGGAAATATCAGCCGCCAACTTTCTGTTTCACTGAGTAGATTTAAACAGCAAAAAAACAACAACTCCATTTGTTGTTTTGGAGAAAAAAAATCAAGCAGTGTTTCCAAACAATAATTCAACAATATCCATAAAGTACATTTTTAATGTTAATACTGCTGATTATTGTAAATTTTGACATATTTTTATTTTATTTTTTATGTAATATTTATTATACATATATAAAATATAAAACAATAAAAATATGATTATTATTATATTTTTTATAATTCAAATATTTTAATTATGCATATATATAAATACTTACACAAATGCACATAAGTAATGAAATATTTTTCATTTTATGTATAATTATAATTCATATATACAAATAATATGTATATGGTATTTAAATTCTAAATATATATAACATGAAAAATATTTCATTATGTGCATTTGTGCAAGTATTTATATGCATAATTAAAATGAACTATATAGTTAATAATAATATATAATTAATATTGATCAGCTGGTTTTTGGTATTTTAACACTTTCTTCATATTTAACTCTGGCTTTAGACATTATAAAGTTGGAAATATAATTTTAAAGCACACACACAGGTTACGAACAGCAGCTTTTGTTTACTGTGTAAAATCACAATCAACATAGATCTCTGAATCATATTAGTAAATCACATAATCTTCATCTTATTCTCATTCTTTACAGTGATTAATCTCCGGAGGACACAAAAACACAATCTGATGTGACGATGACGTCATCACATTCGGTCGTCTCTGATTGGTGGAGAGGAGCGGCGAGACTCCCCCAACACTCATCAGGATGTGACATCATCAGGTGATGACAAACATTTAAAGTGCTTTGATTGGCTGATCTGTGGAGCTTCAGAGAGACAAACGGGTCGTGACGTTATATTCATGACAATAAAACACACTTTCCACACGTTCACATTACTGTAATGCAAAAATATATGTTTTCATTACCGTAACAAAAAAAATATTCTCCTTCTCATCACTTCGGTCACAATACGGAAATATATTCTAATTTTTATTACCACAATACACCGATATTCTCATTCTCATCACCGTAATGCACAAAAGATAGTTCGCATCGCCATAATTTAACAACAACGATATTCTCGTTCTCATTACCGTAATGAACAATATACTCATCCTTATTACGGTTATGCAAAAAAAAAATATCACATGGAAAAATATTCTCAACAAAAAATACTGGTTCTCATCACCGTAACACACCCAACAGAAAATCATCCTCATTACCGTCATATAAAAATATTTACCATAATATGGAAAAAATATTCTCACCTTGTTTCCATATTCTCATTACCCTAATATAAATATAATACCATGATGTAAAAATACTTCATATATTATTTATTTTATTTTTTTGCATACTGTAACAAGATTGAGGTTTGCATCTCAGTAATGCGAGTTGATAAAAAGTGCTTATTTGTCATGAAAATAATGTCACAAATAATCAGCAAGTCCTAAAACACGCGTGATTTTCTTTGAACAAAACGAAACTTATTTTTTAAACTCCGGCATGAATTATGTCCGAGAACATGTTCCTGAGTTTCATCGAGACATACGGCGGTCGGTCATCACCGGAGCTCAACGAAAAGACCAACGGAGGAAGAGAAGTAATGATGTCATTTCCTGAACACAATCCGAGGGCGACGCGGCGTCTGGATTCAGCATCTGGTCTCTGAACGGTGCCACCGCTGAAGCCGGCGTTCTCCTCAGCGCTGGGCGCCGCGAGCGAAGGTTTTCTGCGGGACGTCTGAAGCTCGTGAGACGGGATTGAGTCCACAGCATTGGCACAGGGGGCCGGTCTCAGAGCACCGGGCCGTCACACATCACGTCCTGAGATCCGTGCGGGAGAAGCTCCATCAGCCAGTGGCGCGGGTCGGCGAACACTGCAGACACACGGACACACACACATCAGAGACGCTGCTCCTGACCGGGAGCCTATCGGATCATGCGATGGTCTTACCCATGTCTCCCGGCTCCAGCCAGAGGCTGAAGGAGCGGCAGTGGTTTTGGCATCGCTGGACGGGAAGAACATGAACCGCCGGAGAACCGTCAGCCACCACGAGCCAACCCAACACCTGCACTCTCTGCAACACACAACACGCATATAGAGAGTGTGTAACGCATATAGAGAGTGTGTAACGCATATATAGAGTGTGTTATGCATATAGAGAGTGTAAGTGTAACGCATATATAGTGTAACGCATATAGAGTGTGTAACGCATATATAGTGTAACGCATATAGAGTGTGTAACGCATATATAGTGTAACGCATATAGAGTGTGTAACGCATATATAGTGTAACGCATATAGAGTGTGTAACGCATATAGAGAGTGTAAGTGTAACGCATATATAGAGTGTGTGTAACGCATATATATAGAGAGTGTCTTATGCATATAGAGAGTGTAAGTGTAACGCATATATAGAGTGTAAGTGTAACGCATATATATAGAGAGTGTCTTATGCATATAGAGAGTGTAAGTGTAACGCATATATAGAGTGTAAGTGTAACGCATATATATAGAGAGTGTCTTATGCATATAGAGAGTGTAAGTGTAACGCATATATAGAGTGTGTTATGCATATAGAGAGTGTAAGTGTAACGCATATAGAGTGTGTTATGCATATAGAGAGTGTAAGTGTAACGCATATATATAGAGAGTGTCTTATGCATATAGAGAGTGTAAGTGTAACGCATATATAGAGTGTGTTATGCATATAGAGAGTGTAAGTGTAACGCATATAGAGTGTGTTATGCATATAGAGAGTGTAAGTGTAACGCATATAGAGTGTGTTATGCATATAGAGAGTGTAAGTGTAACGCATATATAGAGTATGTTATGCATATAGAGAGTAAGTGTAACACATATATAGTGTAACGCATAGTGTAACGCATATATAGAGAGTGTGTTATGCATATCGAGAGTGTAAGTGTAACGCATATATAGTGTAACGCATAGTGTAACGCATATATAGAGAGTGTGTTATGCATATCGAGAGTGTAAGTGTAACGCATATATAGTGTAACGCATAGTGTAACGCATATATAGAGAGTGTGTTATGCATATCGAGAGTGTAAGTGTAACGCATATATAGTGTAACGCATAGTGTAACGCATATATAGAGAGTGTGTTATGCATATAGAGAGTGTAAGTGTAACGCATATATAGAGAGTGTGTTATGCATATCGAGAGTGTAAGTGTAACGCATATATAGTGTAACGCATAGTGTAACGCATATATAGAGAGTGTGTTATGCATATAGAGAGTGTAAGTGTAACGCATATATAGAGAGTGTGTTATGCATATCGAGAGTGTAAGTGTAACGCATATATAGAGCGTGTTATGCATATAGAGAGTGTACGGTAAGTGTAACGCATATATAGTGTAACGCATATATAGAGTGTGTTATGCATATAGAGTGTAAGTGTAACGCATATATAGTGTAGCGCATAATGTAACGCATATAGAGAGTGTAACGCATATATAGAGTGTGTTATGCATATAGAGAGTGTAAGTGTAACGCATATAGAGTGTAACGCATATATATAGTGTAAGTGTAACGCATATATAGTGTAAGTGTAACGCATATATATAGTGTAAGTGTGTTATGGATATAGAGAGTGTAAGTGTAACGCATATATAGAGTGTGTTATGCATATAGAGAGTGTAAGTGTAACGCATATATAGAGTGTGTTATGCATATAGAGAGTGTAAGTGTAACGCATATATAGAGTGTGTTATGCATATAGAAAGTGTACGGTAAGAGTAACGCATATATAGTGTAACGCATATATAGAGTGTGTTATGCATATAGAGAGTGTAAGTGTAACGCATATATAGAGTGTGTTATGCATATAGAGAGTGTAAGTGTAACGCATATATAGTGTAACGCATATATAGAGTGTGTTATGCATATAGAGAGTGTAAGTGTAACGCATATATAGTGTAACGCATAATGTAACGCATATAGAGAGTGTAACGCATAGTGTAACGCATTTATATAGTGTAAGTGTAACGCATAATGTAACGCATATAGAGAGTGTAACGCATATATATAGTGTAAGTGTAACGCATACATAGTGTAAGTGTAACGCATATATAGAGTGTGTTATGCATATAGAGTGTAAGTGTAACGCATATATAGAGTGTGTTATGGATATAGAGAGTGTAAGTGTAACGCATATATAGTGTAACGCATAATGTAACGCATATAGTGTAACGCATATATATAGTGTAAGTGTAACGCATATATAGAGAGTGTAACACATATATATAGAGTGTGTTATGCATATAGAGAGTGTAAGTGTAACGCAAATATAGAGTGTGTTATGCATATAGAGTGTAAGTGTAATGCATATATAGAGTGTGTTATGGATATAGAGTGTAAGTGTAACGCATATATAGTGTAACGCATAATGTAACGCATATAGACAGTGTAACGCATAATGTAACGCATATAGAGAGTGTAACGCATAGTGTAACGCATATATATAGTGTAAGTGTAACGCATAATGTAACGCATATAGAGAGTGTAACGCATATATAGAGTGTAACGCATAGTGTAACGCATATATATAGTGTAAGTGTAACGCATATATAGAGTGTAACGCATATATAGAGAGTGTGTTTTGCATATAGAGTGTAAGAGTAACGCATATAGAGTGTAACGCATATATATAGTGTAAGTGTAACGCATATATATAGTGTAAGTGTAACGCATATATATAGTGTAAGTGTAATGCATATAGAGAGTGTAACGCATATATAGAGTGTAACGCATATATAGAGAGTGTGTTTTGCATATAGAGAGTGTAAGAGTAACGCATATATATAGTGTAAGTGTAACGCATATAGAGTGTAACGCATATATATAGTGTAAGTGTAACGCATATATATAGTGTAAGTGTAACGCATATATATAGTGTAAGTGTAATGCATATAGAGAGTGTAACGCATATATAGAGTGTAACGCATATATAGAGAGTGTGTTTTGCATATAGAGTGTAAGAGTAACGCATATAGAGTGTAACGCATATATATAGTGTAAGTGTAACGCATATATATAGTGTAAGTGTAACGCATATATATAGTGTAAGTGTAATGCATATAGAGAGTGTAACGCATATATAGAGTGTAACGCATATATAGAGAGTGTGTTTTGCATATAGAGTGTAAGAGTAACGCATATAGAGTGTAACGCATATATATAGTGTAAGTGTAACGCATATATATAGTGTAAGTGTAACGCATATATATAGTGTAAGTGTAATGCATATAGAGAGTGTAACGCATATATATAGTGTAACGCATATATAGAGAGTGTGTTTTGCATATAGAGTGTAAGTGTAACGCATATATATAGTGTAAGTGTAACGCATATATAGAGTGTGTTTTGCATATAGAGTGTAAGTGTAACGCATATAGAGTGTAACGCATATATATAGTGTAAGTGTAACGCATATAGAGTGTAACGCATATATATAGTGTAAGTGTAATGCATATAGAGTGTAACGCATATATATAGTGTAAGTGTAACGCATATATAGAGTGTAACGCATATATAGAGTGTGTTTTGCATATAGAGTGTAAGTGTAACGCATATATATAGTGTAAGTGTAACGCATATATAGTGTAAGTGTAACGCATATATATAGTGTAAGTGTAATGCATATAGAGTGTAACGCATATATAGAGTGTAACGCATATATAGAGTGTAACGCATATATAGAGAGTGTTTTGCATATAAAGAGTGTAACGCATATATATAGTGTAAGTGTAACGCATATTTATAGTGTAAGTGTAACGCATATATATAGTGTAAGTGTAACGCATATAGAGAGTGTAACGCATAGAGAGTGTTTTGCATATAAAGAGTGTAACGCATATATAGTGTAACGCATATATAGAGAGTGTGTTTTGCATATAGAGTGTAAGTGTAACGCATATATATAGTGTAAGTGTAACGCATATAGAGAGTGTAAGTGTAACACATATAGTGTAACGCATATATATAGTGTAAGTGTAACGCATATAGAGAATGTAACGCATATATATAGTGTAAGTGTAACGCATATAGAGAATGTAACGCATATATAGTGTAAGTGTAACGCACACAGATATAGAGTGTAACGCATATATAGAGTGTAACGCACGAGAGTTACAGAGTATAGAGAGTGCGACGCGCACTAGCGCTGATGCAGTGAGAGTGACGGACCGCGTGACGAGGGCTGGTGATGTCACTCAGCTGGCAGCGCTGCAGTGTGGTGCCCGTGTTCTCCAGCAGGGGGCAGAGCTCCGCGTCAGGGAACAGCCAGCCGAGAACCGTCTCTCTGGGACTGGACGAGAAACTCCTGACAGACACACACATACACACACACACACACTAACACAGTTACAGCACACTGGTTTAGTTCTGTGCGAAGCTGCTGTAAACGTTGAGCATTCGATGTTGTGTGTGTGTCAGACTGAGTGAAGCGTCATTACCAGAGCAGAGTGAAGTTGGCAGGAGACGGAGAGAGAGAGTCAGACGAGGAGAACTGATCCAGCTGAGACACACGCCGAGACAGAGACGCTCCACCCTGAAACACACACACATGATAACAGACATGAGAGAGAGAGTGTGAGTGTGAGAGATAGAGAGCGTGTATGTGAGAGTGACAGTGTGTGCGTGTGTGTGTGTGTGAGAGAGAGATAGAGAGTGTGTGTGTGTGTGTGTCTGTATGAGAGTGTGTGAGAGATAGAGTGTGTGAGTGTGTGTGTCTGTATGAGAGTGTGTGAGTGTGTGTGTGTGTGTGAGTGTGTACCTTGAGCAGCAGTGGCTGTGTGAGTGTGAGTGTGTCTGTATGAGAGTGTGTGAGTGTGTCTGTATGTGTGTGTGTGTGTGTGTGTGTGTACCTTGAGCAGCAGTGGCTGTGTGAGTGTGTCTGTATGAGAGTGTGTGAGTGTGTGTGTCTGTATGAGAGTGTGTGAGTGTCTGTATGTGTGTGTGTGTGTGTGTGTGTACCTTGAGCAGCAGTGGCTGTGTGAGTGTGTCTGTATGAGAGTGTGTGAGTGTGTGTGAGTGAGTGTGTCTGTATGAGAGTGTGTGAGTGTGAGTGAGTGTGAGTCTGTCTGTATGTGTGTGAGTGTGTGTGTGTGTGTACCTTGAGCAGCAGTGGCTGTGTGAGTGTGTCTGTATGTGTGTGAGTGTGTGTGAGTGTGTACCTTGAGCAGCAGTGGCTGTGTGAGTGTGAGTGTGTCTGTATGAGAGTGTGTGAGTGTGTCTGTATGTGTGTGTGTGTGTGTGTGTGTGTGTACCTTGAGCAGCAGTGGCTGTGTGAGTGTGTCTGTATGAGAGTGTGTGAGTGTGAGTGTGTGTGAGTGAGTGTGTCTGTATGAGAGTGTGTGAGTGTCTGTATGTGTGTGTGTGTGTGTGTGTGTGTGTGTGTGTGTGTGTGTGTGTGTGTGTACCTTGAGCAGCAGTGGCTGTGTGAGTGTGTCTGTATGAGAGTGTGTGAGTGTGAGTGTGAGTGTGTGTGAGTGAGTGTGTCTGTATGAGAGTGTGTGAGTGTGAGTGAGTGAGTGTGTCTGTATGAGAGTGTGTGAGTGTGTGTGTGTGTGTGTACCTTGAGCAGCAGTGGCTGTGTGAGTGTGTCTGTATGAGAGTGTGTGAGTGTGTGTGAGTGAGTGTGTCTGTATGAGAGTGTGTGAGTGTGAGTGAGTGTGAGTCTGTCTGTATGTGTGTGAGTGAGTGTGTGTGAGTGAGTGTGTCTGTATGAGAGTGTGTGAGTGTGAGTGAGTGTGTGTGAGTGAGTGTGTCTGTATGAGAGTGTGTGAGTGTGAGTGAGTGTGTGTGAGTGAGTGTGTCTGTATGAGAGTGTGTGAGTGTGTGTGAGTGAGTGTGTCTGTATGAGAGTGTGTGAGTGTGAGTGAGTGTGAGTCTGTCTGTATGTGTGTGAGTGTGTGTGTGTGTGTACCTTGAGCAGCAGTGGCTGTGTGAGTGTGTCTGTATGTGTGTGAGTGTGTGTGAGTGTGTACCTTGAGCAGCAGTGGCTGTGTGAGTGTGAGTGTGTCTGTATGAGAGTGTGTGAGTGTGTCTGTATGTGTGTGTGTGTGTGTGTGTGTGTGTACCTTGAGCAGCAGTGGCTGTGTGAGTGTGTCTGTATGAGAGTGTGTGAGTGTGAGTGAGTGTGTGTGAGTGAGTGTGTCTGTATGAGAGTGTGTGAGTGTGAGTGAGTGTGTGTGAGTGAGTGTGTCTGTATGAGAGTGTGTGAGTGTGTGTGAGTGAGTGTGTCTGTATGAGAGTGTGTGAGTGTGAGTGAGTGTGAGTGTGTCTGTATGTGTGTGAGTGTGTGTGTGTGTGTACCTTGAGCAGCAGTGGCTGTGTGAGTGTGTCTGTATGTGTGTGAGTGTGTGTGAGTGTGTACCTTGAGCAGCAGTGGCTGTGTGAGTGTGAGTGTGTCTGTATGAGAGTGTGTCTGTATGTGTGTGTGTGTGTGTGTGTGTGTACCTTGAGCAGCAGTGGCTGTGTGAGTGTGTCTGTATGAGAGTGTGTGAGTGTGAGTGTGTGTGAGTGAGTGTGTCTGTATGAGAGTGTGTGAGTGTCTGTATGTGTGTGTGTGTGTGTGTGTGTGTGTGTACCTTGAGCAGCAGTGGCTGTGTGAGTGTGTCTGTATGAGAGTGTGTGAGTGTGAGTGTGAGTGTGTGTGAGTGAGTGTGTCTGTATGAGAGTGTGTGAGTGTGAGTGAGTGAGTGTGTCTGTATGAGAGTGTGTGAGTGTGTGTGTGTGTGTGTGTACCTTGAGCAGCAGTGGCTGTGTGAGTGTGTCTGTATGAGAGTGTGTGAGTGTGTGTGAGTGAGTGTGTCTGTATGAGAGTGTGTGAGTGTGAGTGAGTGTGAGTCTGTCTGTATGTGTGTGAGTGAGTGTGTGTGTGTACCTTGAGCAGCAGTGGCTGTGTGTGTGTGTGTGTGAGAGTGTGTGAGTGTGAGTGTGTGTGAGTGAGTGTGTCTGTATGAGAGTGTGTGAGTGTGAGTGTGTGTGAGTGAGTGTGTCTGTATGAGAGTGTGTGAGTCTGTCTGTATGTGTGTGAGTGAGTGTGTGTGTGTACCTTGAGCAGCAGTGGCTGTGTGTGTGTGTGTGTGTGTGAGAGTGTGTGAGTGTGAGTGTGTGTGAGTGAGTGTGTCTGTATGAGAGTGTGTGAGTCTGTCTGTATGTGTGTGAGTGTGTGTGTGTGTACCTTGAGCAGCAGTGGCTGTGTGAGTGTGTCTGTATGAGAGTGTGTGAGTGAGTGTGTCTGTATGAGAGTGTGTGAGTCTGTCTGTATGTGTGTGAGTGTGTGTGTGTGTACCTTGAGCAGCAGTGGCTGTGTGAGTCTGATCTTCCCTGCAGACGCTCTCAGTGCGTCAGTGAGTTCCATCACGTCGGTCACGTCTGCGCAGGCGGAGCAGTTCACCGGAGCCGTGTGTAGAGCGCCGGACGCCCAGCGCTGGTGAAACCCTACACACACACACACACACACACATATATATTCAAAGGCGCATACCAATGGACTGAACACGTAATGCGCATGTGTACGCTGTCAGCGCTTTCACAGATTTGCGTTTTTGGAGTTTGCGCTGAGATGACAACGTTTTCAAAAATTGTTGTCGTGCGGATGAGCGGCCGGAGCGCGTTGAGTGTGTTCTGTAGAGCGGTGTCGTGTTAGCGGCCGCTAAGTTAATCACTAATGATCTTTACAACGGAAGTGAATCAATCAAAACTAACTTTAGCTGGACAATAACTTTATTCTAGAGCTGCTGTAAAGCCTAAACACTCTCTGTTACTGTAATCTCCTGTCATCACTGTAAAGCTGCTGTGAAACTCTGTATTGTTGAAGCGCTGTATAGATGAAGGAGACTTGACACACACACACACACGTGTTCAGATACACCTGTGGGAAGGTGCGTGTGAGCAGGTCTCACCGTGCAGGTTGTACTTCTGTGCGATGGGCAGCGCCAGCAGACGCACATGACTGAGCGGAGACGAGCTGTTGTGTCCCGCGGCGCCGAGAGATCCCAGAGGAGACGAGAACACCAGCACTGCCACCAGCAGGACTCCCACCGCCACTGCAAACTGAGCACACACACACACACACACACGTGAGCTATAAGAACCTCGGGCACCTTTTATAAAACGGTTACCACACAATACATATATCAAAGCCAAAAAAAATATGTATTAGTGCAACTTTCATGAAGTTAAATCACTAAAAGCCTTCCTTCCGCTGGAAAAAATAGTCCCTGACCGCGAACAGCAGCAGAAGTTACGTTACATTATTACGCCGCTAGATGGCGGCAAACACTGTCTTTACGAGTGAGTCCGTCAGTAGAGAAGACTTTTATACTGAAACGACTGAAACTTGTGAACACGGAGAAGCAAGACGCAACTGACAGATGACTAGCGTGTCACGGCACGGAAAAACTTCTTAACTGTTAAAACAACAAGATATCGCAGCGGACATTCAAACTGATTTTTTATTATGATTATGAATGAAGGAAATACATTCATAATAAAATATACTTCATCTGTCAATAGGGTTGCCACCCGTCCCGGTTTTCCCGGGATTGTTCTCTTTTTTGATGTCCTTCAAAGCTGGAAACGCCCCTGGTTGACCCCTCCCCCTCAAAGTGTCCCGGTTTTTCACAAATCAAAGGTGGCAACCCTATCTTTCACATAGTCTCTGAGGCTATGTTTACACGGAAACGATCCGAAGAGAAAACGCAAAAGTGGCGTTGCGTTATCACTTTTTATTCTGCGTTTAGACGAGCGTTATGGTTGGGAAATCCGCGTGCATATGGTGACGCAAAAGTGTGTGAAATTCTATGTAGTGTGCACTCCAGGCAGCTAGGTGGCAATGTGAAGCACTGCCACACAACAACACCAAAATCTTAGAATATTTTGTACAACTGCTGAAAAGACTCTTGTATGTTTTTCAGAGCTGCTAGGGCAACTTGAAGGTCCGACGTATGGAAATAATCTGACATGTTGGTTGTTATTTTCCTGTACTAGCGCATGCCTGTGACGTAAACGCGTACGCGACGAGAGCCACCGTGAGCAGATTTGCGTTTTTACCGTTTAGACGGGAACGCGACGGTGGAGCGTTTTTAAGATTTCCACTTTGGAGGGTGGTTTCACTTTTTTGCGTTTTTAAGCCCCAAAAACGCCGTCGCCGTGTAAACGAAAGGCACATCCGATAAAATATTATTACGTTTTCACCCGGAATCGTTTTCGTGTAAACAGGGCCTAAGCTTCAATGAACAATATCAATGAGAACATGCATGTGTTTACGTTGCTAAGAGTGGTTGCTAGGGGTGTTGTGTAGTGATGCATAGAACCGTTGGGTGAAGCGGTTTATCGTGAATAAAACACAGCTATTGACCAATCAGAATCAATGACTGGAACAAACCGTTTTATAAAAAGATATATACTGTGCGTCCCAATTCGCATACTATCCGTCCTAAATAGTATTCGAAAATAGAATTGGTATGTCCCAAATCGTAGTATGCTGAAATGAGTGTTCCAAGGATACCCGGATGGTCTATCGTTTCCAGTTAGAATCTGAAGTGCAGATCGATGCGCACTCTAACGGCTAATATTACCCACAACCCATCGCGCGTTGGACGATGATTCGATTAAAACTACAAACACGAGTTAAAAGTGTTAAAAAACTACAAACATGGAGGACGCGCGAATCCGGCGGTTATGTAGAGCTTTATATTTAACGGTTTGAGCGATTAATTATCAGTATCTAACCTGACGAAAATGTATTTATTCAATGTTGTCCACATTATATTGCATCTGCAGCAGCATTGTGAACTTTTGTAAAGATACGTTAACTTTTTAATTATATTCAAATTGCAAACACGAGGAGAGTCTCCGCATGAAAGGCCCATGAATGGCAGATCAACGCGCTTCAACATTAAAGATTAAATTAGAGAGTGTAACGCAATAAATTAGATCGAATGGAGGATTTTAACTGTGACGAGATGATTGACAGGTCAGTTTACGGTGACAGCACGTAACTAAGCGACAGAGCTGTCCGTTAAAGATGACGGTCCCAAAGCTGGCAAACTCTTTTGCTACACACTCAAAAGTATGTACTCTTTCTTCACAAAAAGAGTACATACTTTTAGGGCGTAGTATAAGTAGGCGAATTGGGACGCAGCAATCCGCCCGGATCTCGACCCGATATTCCGCGCGTTTGGTCACGTGTTCCCGGACCCGTACCTTCACGGCGGCCCTCAGCACCGGGAACTGCGGCGGGTCTCGGCGGGGCTCGTTCGTCTCCAGAACCTGCTTGATGAACTTCTCGATCTCTCTCTCGGTCATCCCGTAGCGATAGCCGGACTGCCGGAGGATCTCGATGCTCTCAGACAGCTTATCATAGATGCAGGGTTCACTGAGAGACGAGCCCATGATCCCAAGTGTGTGTGTGTGTGTGTGTGTGTGTGTGTGTGTCAGTCAGGGCCGCATCATCATCAACATCTTCATCATCCTCAGACAGCAGCACAATCAGGTTAAGAGGTGTTTGATTGACAGGTGATGAGTCCCGTGTGTGTGTGTGTGCGCGCGTGTGTTTGACAGATGTTGTCTTTCTACCCTAAGTCACGGGAGAAAGCGTTTCCCTTCATGTTGACGAACCCTGTAAAACATAATATCAAATTATGTATCAAATCACTCATAAACAGACAAGCATATGACAGTTTTCCTAGCTAGCCGCACAAACTCCCTCAACTACAGTCTTTATCTTCCGCTATCCGCACAAACACTCATCTATAAAGACAAATGAGCATCTTACTGTCGGCTTATTGCTGATTTGTTGATGATTTCCCTCAGTTTTTGAGAGTTATTTCACTCGCACGTTCACGCTAACACTGCTCGCGCTGAGTCTGATCCGCGAGCGTTACTCATTTGCGCGTTCACAACAGCGGATTCAACACGCTTATCGTGATAACATCGCTTTCATTCGCGACATTTTCGTTGATTTTAATTAAATAGTCGATACGATAAACTATAAAAATGAACTGTGGAATATTTTATAGTTTATTCAATCGAATAATTTTTTTTTGTATTTTTGAGGGGATAAAAAGAAGCGAACATGCCGCTGCAAATGATCAAATAGGGGTTAAACTCCATAAACTCTAACCTTACCAAACCTTAACCTGACTAAATATTAACTCAAAACAGCGGATTTTATCAAACTGTAAAAAGCACTTACAGACCATATTTAGGCTCAAATTCATAATATTTTTTTCATACACGTACTCAAAATGTATGTGATGATTTGATTTATTATGTAGTATTATTATTACTATATTTTATAGTAAAATATTTTATATTATGCTCTTTTATTATGTCTATTTGACAACAATACCATTTTATAAATCAGATTTTATGTTTATATGTATATATGTGTATATATCACACACACACACACACACACACACAGTAGTCAACATTTGAAGTGGATCAAAACCTTTCATCAAAGTTATACATTATACAATTTTAAACAATACCCGTTCTTGTCTTAGGACAACTTGATTCACATTTTTGATCCACTTTAAATGTTGACTACTGTATGTCTATATATATTTCAGTAATAATTCAATACATACAATTATGGGATATATTTTATATTATATTTTTCAGCGGTCTCGAGTTTATAAGAATGCTTTATTATATCCGTGTTATTATAAATCTGACATATCTGTGTCGAAAACAACCGATGACGTCAGCGGCGTGTCTCCAGCAGGGGGCGCAGGCGCGAGTTGAGCGTGAGTGCGCATGCGCCGTGTCCCGCATTGTTTGGATCAGCTGTGCGTGGATCATCTGAAACCCCACCCAATGAGGAAGACGATCCGTGAGCAGCAGACCCGAGCCGCAGCCGAACCCCAGCCGAACCCGCACCATGATCGCGCTCTTCAACAAGCTGCTGGACTGGTTCAAGGCCCTGTTCTGGAAGGAGGAGATGGAGCTCACGCTGGTCGGACTGCAGTACTCGGGGAAAACCACTTTCGTCAACGTGATTGCGGTAACCAAGCGTTTCATTACAGGCCTCGCTCGAGTAACGGGTCGCGTGACTGACGCGCGCTCCGGATTAGAGAGAGATCGGACTCGATATCATCATAATCATAATGTGTGCGATGATCAGTCATCGCGTCAGATACAGTGTAGAAGAGACAGATACTGTCGATCAGATGCTACATCACTAGATACAATCACTTACAGAATAATCAGACTGTGTGTGTTGGATAACGCATCTTTATCAGATATAATCAAGTACAGTGAGCATCATCTGAACATCAGACACAATAGATCAGGTTTAACATCCAACACGATGTAGAAGATACACAACAACAACAACATCAGACACAATGCAGCAGCATCAGATTCAACATCAGGCCATTCAGCATCAGATCAAATATAATGTGTCAAATACAGTTTCATCAGATCAGATACGTTATTAGATCAAATGCAACACTAGTGCGTTATCAGATCAAATCAGACACACTGTATCATATTCATCCTCGTTAGATCAGAAACAACATCACTAGATGCAATGTGTCAGATCAGACGATATGTACAGGAGCAGATTCATTATTATTACATATGATGTATCAGCTCATATTCAGATCAAATCAGACACAATGTATCGTATTCGTGCTCGTGAGATACAGTGTTCAGATACATCATCATCAGATCAGACACAATAGATCAGAATCAACGACATCAGACAGATATTGAAGATACCGCATCATCAGATAACATGTGTCAGATCAGAAACAATAGGTTAGATACAGAAGATGAAACATGAGACGTAGTGTGTGTGTGTGTGTGTGTGTGTGATTCTGATCTGAGTGTGTCACTCAGATCAGACACTCAGAAGCAGATGCGGCGTCATCAGACACAACACAGAAGATACAGCTACAATCATCAGATACATCTTTATCAGATATGATGTATCGCATCATCAGATCAGTGTATCATATTCGTGCTCGTTAGATACAATGTTTCAGATACAACATCATCAGATCAGATACATCTTTATTAGATATGATATATCACATCATCAGATCAAATCAGACACAATGTATCATATTCATCCTCGTTAGATACAATGTTTCAGATTCAACATCATCAGATCAGATTCAAAGCCATCAGACACAATGTAGCAGATAATGTAGCATCATCAGATAACATATGACATCATCAGACACAATGTAGCATCATCAGATCACATATGACAACATCAGACACAATGTAGCATCATCAGATCACATATGACATCATCAGACACTATGTAGCATCATCAGATCACACATGACATCATCAGACACAATGTAGCATCATCAGATCACATATGACATCATCAGACACTATGTAGCATCATCAGATCACACATGACATCATCAGACACAATGTAGCATCATCAGATCACATATGACATCATCAGACACTATGTAGCATCATCAGATCACACATGACATCATCAGACACAATGTAGCATCAATAGATCACACATGACATCATCAGACACTATGTAGCAGATAATGTGGCATCATCAGATCACATATGACATCATCAGACACTATGTAGCATCATCAGATCACACATGACATCATCAGACACAATGTAGCATCATCAGATCACACATGACATCATCAGACACTGAAGATACAGCATCATCAGATCACACATGACATCATCAGACACTATGTAGCAGATAATGTAGCATCATCAGATCACATATGACATCATCAGACACTATGTAGCATCATCAGATCACACATGACATCATCAGACACTGAAGATACAGCATCATCAGATCACACATGACATCATCAGACACTATGTAGCAGATAATGTGGCATCATCAGATCACATATGACATCATCAGACACTGAAGATACAGCATCATCAGATTACATATGACATCATCAGACAGAAGATACAGCATCATCAGATACAGTGTGTTCATTAAATACAGTGTGTCAAACTTTATAATCAGATGCAGTAATGAAGATACAACAACATCAGAAACAATGTGTCAGATTCAGCATTATTAAATCAGACGCAACAGGCACAACGTTATCCATACAACACGCCACATTCATCATCATCAGACACGATGTGTCATATTATTACTCATTATTACTCGTTTATCTGACACAGCATCAGACACTATCAGATACATCAAACATCATCAGCTGACCCACGTTCTCAACCAATCAGCATCTGGCATGTCCAGTCGGAGGCATTTTCACGTGTTTGAGACACACACACACACACACACTCAGGAAGGTCGTTGGTGCATAAACCCAGGCGTTTAGGGCCTGTGAGTGATCAGGTTTCAGTGACATCACTTCCTGTGTAACTCTCTCTGTCGTCCTGCAGTCGGGGCAGTTCAGCGAAGACATGATCCCTACGGTCGGCTTCAACATGCGCAAGATCACCAAGGGGAACGTCACCATCAAGGTCAGCATCACCGTCACCGCACAACCCTCACACAACCCTCACACTCAGATACCGCACAACCCTCACACTCAGACACCGCACAACCCTCACACTCAGACACCGCACAACCCTCCCACAACCCTCACACTCAGACACCGCACAACCCTCACACTCAGACACCGCACAACCCTCCCACAACCCTCACACTCAGACACCGCACAACCTTCACGCTCAGACACCGCACAACCGTCACACTCAGACACCGCACAACCCTCACACAACCGTCACACTCAGACACCGAACAACCCTCACGCTCAGACACCGCACAACCCTCACGCTCAGACACCGCACAACCCTCACACTCAGACACCGCACAACCGTCACACAACCGTCACACTCAGACACCGAACAACCCTCACGCTCAGACACTGCACAACCCTCACGCTCAGACACCGCACAACCGTCACACTCAGACACCGCACAACCGTCACACTCAGACACCGCACAACCCTCACACAACCGTCACACTCAGACACCGAACAACCCTCACGCTCAGACAACGCACAACCCTCACACAACCCTCACGCTCAGACACCGCACAACCCTCACACAACCGTCACACTCAGACACCGCACAACCCTCACGCTCAGACACCGCACAACCCTCACACAACCCTCACGCTCAGACACCGCACAACCCTCACGCTCAGACACCGCACAACCCTCACACAACCGTCACACTCAGACACCGCACAACCCTCACACTCAGACACCGCACAACCCTCACACTCAGACACCGCACAACCCTCCCACAACCGTCACACTCAGACACCGCACAACCCTCACACTCAGACACCGCACAACCCTCACGCTCAGACACCGCACAACCCTCACGCTCAGACACCGCACAACCCTCACACAACCGTCACACTCAGACACCGCACAACCCTCACACTCAGACACCGCACAACCCTCACGCTCAGACACCGCACAACCCTCACACAACCGTCACACTCAGACACCGCACAACCCTCACACTCAGACACCGCACAACCCTCCCACAACCGTCACACTCAGACACCGCACAACCCTCACACTCAGACACCGCACAACCCTCACACTCAGACACCGCACAACCCTCACACTCAGACACCGCACAACCCTCACGAGTCACACACGTTTACCCCTCATCCGTCTCTCTCTCTCTGTAACGCATCTCTCCCTCGCGGCTCACCCGAAGACCTAAAATTAGACTTTTTTGTTTGTTTGTTTTTTTTTGTCCAGAAAGCTTATTTTATTTCATTTTGAATATATATATATATATATTTTTTTAATGTTTTAATTTTTTTTTATATTTAAAAAAATTGACCTTTTAAATGACTAGATTTGATCATTAAATAATAAATAATTAGTAATTTAAGCACATTCCTCAAATTCTTTCAACTTAAATAGAAAATAACTCACAATTTCATGCATAACCCTTTTAACTCAGCTCAAAATATCTCACATCTTTGAGCTCTTGTGGAGATATAATAATAACACATGATATTTCATAACTCTAGATGGGCTGGGTCCTAAAGTTGAGGTGTTTCTGTGTGAACTGAAGCATTCCTCACATTCCTGAGGGGGTCAGATTGACCCGGATTTGTTACTTTTTTAAATTTCAACCACAAAACTCCTCAAATCCATTGGTTCAAGTGTGACAGAAGTCCTGGGTCTTGAACCCCTCTGATAAAAAAAGAGTTTCGGGTGAAAATGACCCGAGGGGAGGATGATTATAAACATAGTAAACTGAAGTATAGCTTTGTGTAGTGATTGTGTGTGTTGTGTTGCAGTTGTGGGACATCGGCGGCCAGCCGCGCTTCAGGAGCATGTGGGAGCGGTACTGCCGCGGCGTCAGCGCTATAGTGTGAGTTTATAACCCTTATCCAGTTGTGAAGCGCTTTTCACAACACACATCATTACAACGCAGCTTTACAGAAGTGCACGAGTCCACATTACAGTCATCAGAGGAGACTGTCTGAGTTATGTATTTCAGAAATGTGCATATACAAAATCACAGTTAGCTAAAAATATACTAATTTAAACAATGTAATAATTGAATGAGGAGAAATGAACACTTGTCTGTTAACAAATGATTATGACATGTGTGACACAGAACCAGTCACAAGGTCAATGTTTTGAATTTGAGATTTATACATATAAATAAGCTTTCCATTGATTTATTGTTGGTTAGGATTGGACAATATTTGAACATCTGGAATCTGAGGGTGCTAAAAAAATCTCCTTTAAAGTTGTGCATTTATGTTGGCGATTCTGCTGCATACACTCACAAACATAAATGATTAATATATTTACGGTAGGAAATTTACCGTTTTATGATCTTTACTTCATATCCTAATGATTTTTGGCATAAAAGAAATGATAATTGTGAGCCATACAGTGCAGTTGCTGTGGCCACAGATACGCCGGCGCGACTCGACACTGGGTCTGTGCTCAGGGTTAGGTTAGGTACTGTCGCCACAGATACGCCGGCGCGACTCGACACCGGGTCTGTGCTCAGGGTTAGGTTAGGTACTGTCGCCACAGATACGCCGGCGCGACTCGACACCGGGTCTGTGCTCAGGGTTAGGTTAGGTACTGTCGCCACAGATACGCCGGCGCGACTCGACACTGGGTCTGTGCTCAGGGTTAGGTTAGGTACTGTCGCCACAGATACGCCGGCGCGACTCGACACCGGGTCTGTGCTCAGGGTTAGGTTAGGTACTGTCGCCACAGATACGCCGGCGCGACTCGACACTGGGTCTGTGCTCAGGGTTAGGTTAGGTACTGTCGCCACAGATACGCCGGCGCGACTCGACACCGGGTCTGTGCTCAGGGTTAGGTTAGGTACTGTCGCCACAGATACGCCGGCGCGACTCGACACCGGGTCTGTGCTCAGGGTTAGGTTAGGTACTGTCGCCACAGATACGCCGGCGCGACTCGACACTGGGTCTGTGCTCAGGGTTAGGTTAGGTACTGTGGCCACAGATACGCCGGCGCGACTCGACACTGGGTCTGTGCTCAGGGTTAGGTTAGGTACTGTGGCCACAGATACGCCGGTGCGACTCGACACTGGGTCTGTGCTCAGGGTTAGGTTAGGTACTGTCGTCACAGAGACGCCGGCGCGACTCGACACTGGGTCTGTGCTCAGGGTTAGGTTAGGTACTGTGGCCACAGATACGCCGGCGCGACTCGACACTGGGTCTGTGCTCAGGGTTAGGTTAGGTACTGTGGCCACAGATACGCCGGCGCGACTCGACACTGGGTCTGTGCTCAGGGTTAGGTTAGGTACTGTGGCCACAGATACGCCGGCGCGACTCGACACTGGGTCTGTGCTCAGGGTTAGGTTAGGTACTGTCGCCACGCGACTCGACACTGGGTCTGTGCTCAGGGTTAGGTTAGGTACTGTGGCCACAGATACGCCGCGCGACTCGACACTGGGTCTGTGCTCAGGGTTAGGTTAGGTACTGTCGCCACGCGACTCGACACTGGGTCTGTGCTCAGGGTTAGGTTAGGTACTGTGGCCACAGATACGCCGCGCGACTCGACACTGGGTCTGTGCTCAGGGTTAGGTTAGGTACTGTCGTCACAGAGACGCCGGCGCGACTCGACACTGGGTCTGTGCTCAGGGTTAGGTTAGGTACTGTGGCCACAGATACGCCGGCGCGACTCGACACTGGGTCTGTGCTCAGGGTTAGGTTAGGTACTGTGGCCACAGATACGCCGGTGCGACTCGACACCGGGTCTGTGCTCAGGGTTAGGTTAGGTACTGTCGTCACAGAGACGCCGGCGCGACTCGACACTGGGTCTGTGCTCAGGGTTAGGTTAGGTACTGTGGCCACAGATACGCCGGCGCGACTCGACACTGGGTCTGTGCTCAGGGTTAGGTTAGGTACTGTGGCCACAGATACGCCGGCGCGACTCGACACTGGGTCTGTGCTCAGGGTTAGGTTAGGTACTGTGGCCACAGATACGCCGGCGCGACTCGACACTGGGTCTGTGCTCAGGGTTAGGTTAGGTACTGTCGCCACGCGACTCGACACTGGGTCTGTGCTCAGGGTTAGGTTAGGTACTGTGGCCACAGATACGCCGCGCGACTCGACACTGGGTCTGTGCTCAGGGTTAGGTTAGGTACTGTCGCCACGCGACTCGACACTGGGTCTGTGCTCAGGGTTAGGTTAGGTACTGTGGCCACAGATACGCCGCGCGACTCGACACTGGGTCTGTGCTCAGGGTTAGGTACTGTCGTCACAGAGACGCCGGCGCGACTCGACACTGGGTCTGTGCTCAGGGTTAGGTTAGGTACTGTCGCCACGCGACTCGACACTGGGTCTGTGCTCAGGGTTAGGTTAGGTACTGTGGCCACAGATACGCCGCGCGACTCGACACTGGGTCTGTGCTCAGGGTTAGGTTAGGTACTGTGGCCACAGAGACGCCGGCGCGACTCGACACTGGGTCTGTGCTCAGGGTTAGGTTAGGTACTGTGGCCACAGATACGCCGGCGCGACTCGACACTGGGTCTGTGCTCAGGGTTAGGTTAGGTACTGTCGCCACAGATACGCCGGCGCGACTCGACACTGGGTCTGTGCTCAGGGTTAGGTTAGGTACTGTCGTCACAGAGACGCCGGCGCGACTCGACACTGGGTCTGTGCTCAGGGTTAGGTTAGGTACTGTCGCCATAGAGACGCCGGCGCGACTCGACACCGGGTCTGTGCTCAGGGTTAGGTTAGGTACTGTCGCCACGCGACTCGACACTGGGTCTGTGCTCAGGGTTAGGTTAGGTACTGTCGCCACAGATACGCCGGCGCGACTCGACACCGGGTCTGTGCTCAGGGTTAGGTTAGGTACTGTCGCCACAGATACGCCGGCGCGACTCGACACTGGGTCTGTGCTCAGGGTTAGGTTAGGTACTGTGGCCACAGATACGCCGGCGCGACTCGACACTGGGTCTGTGCTCAGGGTTAGGTTAGGTACTGTGGCCACAGATACGCCGGTGCGACTCGACACTGGGTCTGTGCTCAGGGTTAGGTTAGGTACTGTCGTCACAGAGACGCCGGCGCGACTCGACACTGGGTCTGTGCTCAGGGTTAGGTTAGGTACTGTGGCCACAGATACGCCGGCGCGACTCGACACTGGGTCTGTGCTCAGGGTTAGGTTAGGTACTGTGGCCACAGATACGCCGGCGCGACTCGACACTGGGTCTGTGCTCAGGGTTAGGTTAGGTACTGTGGCCACAGATACGCCGGCGCGACTCGACACTGGGTCTGTGCTCAGGGTTAGGTTAGGTACTGTCGCCACGCGACTCGACACTGGGTCTGTGCTCAGGGTTAGGTTAGGTACTGTGGCCACAGATACGCCGCGCGACTCGACACTGGGTCTGTGCTCAGGGTTAGGTTAGGTACTGTCGCCACGCGACTCGACACTGGGTCTGTGCTCAGGGTTAGGTTAGGTACTGTGGCCACAGATACGCCGCGCGACTCGACACTGGGTCTGTGCTCAGGGTTAGGTTAGGTACTGTCGTCACAGAGACGCCGGCGCGACTCGACACTGGGTCTGTGCTCAGGGTTAGGTTAGGTACTGTGGCCACAGATACGCCGGCGCGACTCGACACTGGGTCTGTGCTCAGGGTTAGGTTAGGTACTGTGGCCACAGATACGCCGGTGCGACTCGACACCGGGTCTGTGCTCAGGGTTAGGTTAGGTACTGTCGTCACAGAGACGCCGGCGCGACTCGACACTGGGTCTGTGCTCAGGGTTAGGTTAGGTACTGTGGCCACAGATACGCCGGCGCGACTCGACACTGGGTCTGTGCTCAGGGTTAGGTTAGGTACTGTGGCCACAGATACGCCGGCGCGACTCGACACTGGGTCTGTGCTCAGGGTTAGGTTAGGTACTGTGGCCACAGATACGCCGGCGCGACTCGACACTGGGTCTGTGCTCAGGGTTAGGTTAGGTACTGTCGCCACGCGACTCGACACTGGGTCTGTGCTCAGGGTTAGGTTAGGTACTGTGGCCACAGATACGCCGCGCGACTCGACACTGGGTCTGTGCTCAGGGTTAGGTTAGGTACTGTCGCCACGCGACTCGACACTGGGTCTGTGCTCAGGGTTAGGTTAGGTACTGTGGCCACAGATACGCCGCGCGACTCGACACTGGGTCTGTGCTCAGGGTTAGGTACTGTCGTCACAGAGACGCCGGCGCGACTCGACACTGGGTCTGTGCTCAGGGTTAGGTTAGGTACTGTCGCCACGCGACTCGACACTGGGTCTGTGCTCAGGGTTAGGTTAGGTACTGTGGCCACAGATACGCCGCGCGACTCGACACTGGGTCTGTGCTCAGGGTTAGGTTAGGTACTGTGGCCACAGAGACGCCGGCGCGACTCGACACTGGGTCTGTGCTCAGGGTTAGGTTAGGTACTGTGGCCACAGATACGCCGGCGCGACTCGACACTGGGTCTGTGCTCAGGGTTAGGTTAGGTACTGTCGCCACAGATACGCCGGCGCGACTCGACACTGGGTCTGTGCTCAGGGTTAGGTTAGGTACTGTCGTCACAGAGACGCCGGCGCGACTCGACACTGGGTCTGTGCTCAGGGTTAGGTTAGGTACTGTCGCCACGCGACTCGACACTGGGTCTGTGCTCAGGGTTAGGTTAGGTACTGTCGCCATAGAGACGCCGCGCGACTCGACACTGGGTCTGTGCTCAGGGTTAGGTTAGGTACTGTGGCCACAGAGACGCCGGCGCGACTCGACACTGGGTCTGTGCTCAGGGTTAGGTTAGGTACTGTCGCCACAGATACGCCGGCGCGACTCGACACTGGGTCTGTGCTCAGGGTTAGGTTAGGTACTGTGGCCACAGAGACGCCGGCGCGACTCGACACTGGGTCTGTGCTCAGGGTTAGGTTAGGTACTGTGGCCACAGAGACGCCGGCGCGACTCGACACCGGGTCTGTGCTCAGGGTTAGGTTAGGTACTGTGGCCACAGATACGCCGGCGCGACTCGACACTGGGTCTGTGCTCAGGGTTAGGTTAGGTACTGTCGTCACAGAGACGCCGGCGCGACTCGACACTGGGTCTGTGCTCAGGGTTAGGTTAGGTACTGTGGCCACAGAGACGCCGGCGCGACTCGACACTGGGTCTGTGCTCAGGGTTAGGTTAGGTACTGTGGCCACAGAGACGCCGGTGCGACTCGACACTGGGTCTGTGCTCAGGGTTAGGTTAGGTACTGTCGTCACAGAGACGCCGGCGTGACTCGACACTGGGTCTGTGCTCAGGGTTAGGTTAGGTACTGTCGCCACAGATACGCCGGCGCGACTCGACACTGGGTCTGTGCTCAGGGTTAGGTTAGGTACTGTGGCCACAGAGACGCCGGCGCGACTCGACACTGGGTCTGTGCTCAGGGTTAGGTTAGGTACTGTCGTCACAGAGACGCCGGCGCGACTCGACACTGGGTCTGTGCTCAGGGTTAGGTTAGGTAGACGTGTCTCACGATGCTCATGATGTCCTGCAGGTACATGGTAGACGCGGCCGATCCCGAGAAGATCGAGGCGTCCAAGAACGAACTGCACAACCTGTTGGACAAGCCTCAGCTGCAGGGCATCCCGGTGAGTGCGACTCCGCTCGCATGTGTGTGTGTGTGTGTGTGTGTGTGCGGTATTATTATTATTATTATTCTCTGTGACGTGATCGAGAGCGTGTGCGTCTGCCCTCAGGTTCTGGTTCTGGGAAATAAGCGAGATCTTTCCGGAGCTCTGGACGAGAAGGAGCTCATCGAGAGAATGTGAGTCACACACACACACACACACACACCTCCGTCATGTGATCAGGTCCGGTCACGACACTCATGTATGACACCAGATTACGCTAACCTGCATTTTTTAATTCAGGAATGTGGAATATTGTTTTCACTCTGTTATAAAACAGTTATATTTTTTATGTAAGTAAAAATACAAGAAATCATCTTTAAGAAAAGATACAATTTTATTGCTAGAAAATAGCAAAATCATATCAATGTTTTAATCAGACGAGTTTGCAGCAGAAATTGCAAATATCATATTTTTGATTTAACAATAATTTAGCATTTAACAATAATTGACAAATGGATAATGTATTTAAAAAAAATAAAAAATTATATTTAATATATATTTTACTCAGAAATATTTCACAGTTTACTAACAGAGCTGATAAAATTGCTAATTTTTATGTTTTTGTTGATGAGAATGTGACATTTTGTCTTTCACTCAGTTATAATATATATATTTTTATGTATTTAAAAATATAAGAAATCATTCTTTTTTTAAATATTTAAAAATGTATGTAAGCGTTAGTATATATTGCTAGAAAATAGCAAATTCACATCAGTGTTTTAATCAAATAAGGTTCACTTATACAACTTTCATTGTATTTTTACAGATTTTTAAAAACACTGACAAATAATTCAGCATGCAGAATATTCCTTTCCCTCAGTTATAAAATATATATATTTTTAATGTGTTTAAAAATACAAGAAATCATTGTTAACATTTTTTATTTATTTAATTTTCAGTGTTTATTACTACAAAATGGCAAAATCAAATCAGCGTTTTAATCAGATAATTATTAAAAGCATGTGAAATATTGTCCTTCCCTCAGTTATAAATGTATTATATTTAAAACTACAAGAAATAAGCATTCCCAGAGTAACGGATGAAACGGTTGAAGGTGAACTTTTAAAGCGCCTGTGAGGCTTTTGTCTTGTGCCACATTAAAATATTCTATATAAATATGAATAAAGTTGATTTTAGATGCGATGGATATAATCTGATGTGTAATGTGTGTTCTACAGGAACCTGTCGGCCATCCAGGACAGAGAGATCTGCTGTTACTCCATCTCCTGTAAGGAGAAGGACAACATCGGTAAGACGGCGCTAAAATACACTTTCACACCAGATGCTCCTGTACCTTTAAGACATCAGCGAGCTCTGTGATTGGCTGCTCATAGTTCATCTGGGCGGGGCATATGTTAATGAGTGTGTTGTGTGTTCCAGACATCACACTACAGTGGCTGATCCAGCACTCACGGACCCGGCGGAGCTGAGGAGGCGGAGCTTGCATCTGATTGGAGGAACCGCATCATGTGATCAACTGTATTTTAGGCGCTCTTGATTTAATTCTAAACAAACAAGCATCCGCCCCTCCTTATAAACTAATTCACATCATTTACATTGTTTATTTTAGTTTTTACTTGAATGTGCTTTTTTAACGGTTCATCATGAAGTCCGGACGTGTCACATGACACGTTTCGTTTGTGCGCGCCGCTCTGCGTGTTTTTTGCTCGGGGACTTGATCAAACCTTAACCGACGCCCACACCATCTGGTCACGTGATCCACGGAGGTCCAGTTTACGCCGCCATCTTGTTTAAACGTCGTGAGAACGTTCACTGGGAGAATTCTCCAATTTTCACTGTTTTAGCATCATTAGCCTGTTAGCGTGACCTGCTACGAATGTGACATCGTCGTAAAAGTGACGTAAGCGGCTTTGTTGACATTAACAGTCATTTACGAAGTCAACTTTTAGTCATTCAACAAAGTTGTGCGTTTGCGACTTTATTGTTTTGGAGTTGATGTAGCGAAGTTGACTTTGACAGAGTCCTTTACGAAGTCGTTCACACGAATGTGACATCATACGTACAGCTGTGACATCATCTAGGTTTGCGCTAATTGTGTAACGTTACGAAATCTGTCGTTTTATCGGAAAGCACACAAATCCGTCTGAAGAGTTTTAACGTGTCCGGATGAAGGTTTTATACGTTTCTTCCGTGACGACAGCGTTGTGTCAAAGACATCGGTGGGTTGTCATGGCAACTGCGTTTCCATTGCGTCGAGTTTTAGGAAAGACCCGCAGATCATTGCGCAAATAAAATCAGCGGAGATGTGACGAATATTGTGCAGCTGGCGTCCAACGCTGTTCATATTGGGAGGTTTTTCTCGCTTTATTTCGTTCCGTTTTTTGTCGCATGCTTGGACGTTTTTGGCCTAAATCGTAGGGGTTTATAAACGTGTCGGTAGATTATACATATGTAAATTTACACATTTTTTCATTGTTTTGGGTTGTTTTTGCCATATTTTTACTCATGTTTTTTCACAGTGTTTTTCAACTGGATTATGTAAATAGCAACTTAAACCAAATGAGATCTCCCGGTGTTTGTCCTGTTGTGATTAGCTTCCTGAGATAATAATCATAATAATAAAGAAGACCCCTCTCATATTCACAGCAGTCTGAACAAACGGATTGTGAGTGTGAGAGAGAGAGTGACTGATTGTGTCATGTACACTAGAATAATATTTACTTTATAAATGCAGCGCGTTTATTCTGTTGATTTTTCGCAACTGCAAATCATTTTATATTCATATCCGCTAATGTTTTGATTTGTTATGATTTCATAGGGTGCGCGTGCATCTAAACCTTGTCTACACGAGAGCGAACGACGTAATGCGACAAAGCGGCGATAATCAACAAAGCTACACTGCTAGCACTGCTAGCACAGCTAGCTTAAAGACGGTTACGAAGCTGGCTTTGACGTTCATCTGATTACTCTGGTTTCCAAATTATTTACACTACAACCGCTAACTTGGTATTAGCATCAATGAGTCATCGAAAAGTGATGTAAACAGTATTAAAAGTCATTTTACAACTTGTAGTTATTTAACGAAGTTGTGCGTTTCTGACATAGACGGCTTTATTATAATACGATAAAGACGATGTAACGAATTTGACTATTCCGCGTCTTTAAGAAGTCACCTTGTTTTGTTTATTATTAACTTTGTTGATTGTTACGTTTTAATCAAGCGGTGAAGTGGTTTGCAAGCGCACAACTTGGTTACGCAACAAGAAGTTCGTAAATGACTATTGAAGTTCACTTCGTAATGACTTTGACGAATTTTACTTTTTTTTTTAAAGCATGCACTAAAATGCATGTAATGAATGACTACTTTATTATAATGAAGCCGATGTAGCGAAGTAGACTTTACAAAGTCCTTTATAAAGTCACGTTTTGTTTATATTGGATTTTTAAAATGATTATAACAGTCATTTGCGAAGTCAACCTAACGAAGTTGCATTAATATAGTCGAGTGGCGAAGCGCTTTGCAAGCTACGCAACACCTAGTTCGTTATGACTTTGTTGAAGTTCACGTACTAGCGAAGTCAAACTAGCATAGTCAACTTGTTGATTATAACAGTCATTTGCGAAGTCATCCTAATGACGTTCATGATCTATTCGCAACATTGTTACGCGAGTTCGTTGGGTTTGTGAATGACTTCGTAAAAGTCACTTGTGAAGTTAATCTGACTTTGATCATAATGTCGCGAGCGCTTTGTCGATTATAGCGGCTTCTTGTCGCGTTGCGTGATTTCCTGCTGCTCATATCGACTCCTGTCACCAGTTCATCTGGACTCATGATCTTCTGAATGTGTGTTGAGTTCATTATTGTTTCATGTCTTAATTAAATGTGGCCAAAATGTTTCTTTTGTGATGTCATTGTTTTAATTGTTTGTAGCAGAGTCGCTCTTTTGTTTGCTGGGAGTCATGTGACTTTACACTGACGTCCCGCTGCACGGCTCATTATGGGATGGAGCAGGTTGCCATGGTTACTGTATAAACCAAGTTGTGATTGGACCGAGCGTGATTCTTTTATCCCCTCTTTATATGGACCAGACAGTAACTTTTTACAGCAGTCAGTCACATAACAAGTGTTTCTGTACAAGACTCCATCCGTCGAGTTGTTCATTTGGGATCTTTCTATTCTCTCGTACTCTCGGTGATAACTGTACATGTTGTTCTTGTTATTTACAGATTATTTAAAAATGAAATTAAATGATTTCCCTATCAGAACATATGTTTCTTGTTTCTTTCAGTCAAGTTTTAATTTGGGTTTAGTTCAATGATACTGCATGAGAAATGTTCTTCAAAAGATTTGAGAAACTTTCATTTATTTTTCGAATTTACTTTTGTGCTGTTGATGTTTAGCCTTCTGAAAAGCACACTAACATACTATATCTCTGCAGGATGTAGTACTGTGCAGCATTTTTATTTGTCTACTTGCATACTACTTAGTGATCTACTACTGCACTACACCTTGTACTGTATCCCACAATGCACTGCCCTCTACCCTTGTTTAAGTATGCACTGCAGAAGTTGCACACTGAGCAGTAAACGGCAGCAGTATGCGAGTCTTCAACGTGACCAGCAGAGGTCAGTCGACACATACAAATATTTCTCTCATTATTTATTAAATAAGACTCTCTGTGCAGTTTTTTACTCTGAAGACTAACCGAACGTTTATTGATATGACGTCAACAATAAAAGTTGTTCATTAAAACATTCTGTAATTATTAATCTGCCTGTTAAATTTAAAGTAGGCCTAATTAATTTTGTCCCTTAAGAAATGCTTTTATTAATTAATTTCAGACTGAAATCGCAGTATCACGGATCATCTCCGTAGCAACAACGCGCGTCGCGCACTAACGTATCGGCGAGTTTCGCGCTCTTTTTGTTTTTTAAATATATTTTTTATTTCAATAAATAATAATTTACAACAAACAGTAACAAAAATTGCGGCTGATTAAGAAGACCATCACATAAACACAATAGCATTATTTATCACAATTAAAAATGACATTTTCGTTATAACGGTCGTTATATTCCCAGGGATAAACATAAACGCGGCGCGTAAAAGACCGAACCAGACGGACCGGTCCAAAACCAACATCAGCGAGGGGTCTGACGGGATGAAAAGCTGGTTTTAGGGAGTTAACTGGGATTGTTTGAGCTCATTCATCCCTCAGACTCCTCGCTGATGTTGGTTTTGGACGGGTCCGGTTGGCCGTTATTCAGCTGGTAGGATGTGAGAAGGTCAGTGTTGTCATGGAGACGGTGACAGCGTGACGTGCCGGATGTGTCACCCATAGACATATTAAATATTTTCTTTGTATGTATTTTATTATATCTATGGTCTGACCCACCAGGCTCATGCCAGCGGACCCTGCGGTCGGTTCCGCCGAGTCCAGCTGTGATCGCGATCTCCATTGAACTCTGTTGGTAACGGCGGAACTTGCGAGCATGGTTGGCGCGCCGCTGACCGGGTCTCCACGGCGATCTCACACACACTTCAATCTTCTTCAGTGGAACAAAACAAACAGTGTCTCAGAGCCGTCAACCCACACACAATACACACACACAACTCTTAAATGAATATATAATGGAAATGGACATACTAGTGTCTCTGAGGAGATTCCACCAAACTTATTTAGGCCTACTTTAACAACCATAGTGTGTTTTCACCTCAAACATATTAAAATGCGTTTTATTATCGGACACTGTAATTGTATTGAATGTGAATATGGTTATCACTCAACACCACAGTACTGTGTGTGTGTGTGTGTGTGTGTGTGTGTGTGTGTGTGTGTGTGTGTGTGTGTGTGTGTGTGAACAGATGTTGACGTCTCTGTTGTTGTGCAGTTCTGGTTTTCATTCATGAATTCAACAGAATCCCCCTCTGTGAGCCAGTGTGTGGGTTTATAGTTTAAGGACAAACTGTCCACAGAAGTCAGATAGATGTGACAAAACCTCCTTTTGTGGACAGTTCATTTGGGAAATTTGATTTGTTTAAAAATAGCTGTAATGTTTTAGTCGTAATTTTCACAGTTTAGCTATGATATGCACATATTTTTGTGAAAAAGAATCAGTAACCTTGTAAGTTTATATCAGCTGTATTTTTACTTTACGCTGTAGATACGTAACAGTGATTGCATAACATTAACTACATTAATCTATTTGTGTTTTCAGACTGGAAAAAAGCTTTGGAAAAAAAAACCTAGCAATCTAGTTTTGAAATCTCATCTAAAATTAGCAGTGTTGGGAGTAAAATATTACAAGAATTTCTTCCCATTCTCAAATCAATATTTGGGAAATTTACTTGGAAAATGTAACAATGATATGAATCCTTAGATGTTACTTGATGTTACAAAAAAATTGAATTATAATTAGTTGTTTTTTAAAATAACACAAATGTTTTATATATATTTAGAGTATATTTGTAAAACATATTTCATACATGTTTTACAAAGTCATTATTATACACTGAACAAAATTATAAACACAACACTTTTGTTTTTGCCCCCATTTTTCATGATCCGAACTCAAAGATCTAAGACTTTTTATATGTACACAAAAGGTGTACATATAAAAAGGCCATTTTGGCTCATAAATTCGAGTTTGCTGTTGACGTTTATATTGCGCTACCTGAAAATCATCCGGTTTGATGGCGCCGTCACCCCTCAAATACTGAGTTTGTTACCGCCACACGACAACAAACTTCAAACACTTGCACCCCAAATATGCAGGACATAGAGCCGGCTTCCCTGAAAGTGTGAAGCGCACTCTTGACCTCATTTTGTGTGGTTCACAGCAGCACAGAGCGTTTAATCTACCCCGGATTACTTGTTGCCCACCTCAGCGTGAGCGGCCCGTCTCTATGGCGAGAGAAAAGGCGCCGGAGAATGTCGAGTCTGTTTCTGGTCTGCTAATGTTTGAGTCTGAATGCCGAGAGCCGGCGTGTGACAGTCGCGTAGCAACTCGCTATTGATATTCAGCGCGGGGGCCGCGGCTCGGGAACAATACGGCCCTTATGGGCCCCGCGACTCCTCCTGAGAATCCACTGTAGGAGGAAAATCCCAGCAGTCCAACTGTGTGTGCGACTCGTTCAAACTGATGAACAAAACAAAGGAGTTCGCAAGGCTTATGTGACATACTCAAACTCTTTTAAACCTTTATTGGCTGCAACCAAGTACAAAAACAAATACAAAAAGATTTGACGCTAACAATCTGTTCAGCAAATGCTATTATAATCATTTCTAACGTGTTAAAGAGTCTTTTCTTATAGTTCATAGAGTCAGCCGTCTCTGCACAGATCGATCAATTCCAGCAGAGAATCAGACGGTGAAACACTAAATCTTTGAGCTGAAAAGGCATATTTTCATCTAAAACAAAAGGCATTTTAAAGATAAAAAAAGTAAGTGCATAAAAATGTTCAAGTTTGCCGTAAATCATGTCCATCCAGCAGTATCTGTGCATAAACAACATATTATTGGTTAGAATGGTTAGAATCGTATGTATTTATATAGGGACTGAAACTAGTTCAACCTGATCCAGCGGCTGTCTTTAAAGGGAGAGTATTAAGAGTTTATTTCATGTGAAGAAAGTCATACATGTTTGGAACGAGTGAATGATTTTTGTGTGAACTGTCCCTTTAACCCTCTGATGTGGCGCTCAAAAATGACCGAATTTTATTATTTTATTTCAATGAAACGAATGTACTATATTTTAGTTTGATAATGTTTTTTTATTTAATATTTTGTATTTTATGGGGATTTTATGGTACTACATTATATTTACGCTGTATTTATAATCCATTTCTTCACGTTTTGAGCTTAGACCTGAAAACTACATTTCCAACTTAAACTGGTAAATCTCGAACGCTTTAGAGCGACAGACTGAAGTTTGATCTCTTCTCAAAGATGACACTCGGCAGATTATTGCTGAAGTGAAAAAAGTTTTAAAAAGAGAACTTAAAAAAATTACAGAATTTTACGTTTATTGTTATGAAAAATGCACAAAAATACTATTTTCCATTTTTATATGACATCTATACTTTCAAAAACACGTTTTACTCTAAAACTGCAAGAAAATCAAAGGCATAAATCTAAACAAGTTGTGCAAATTTGAGTTTGATATTTTACATAATGAGCGTTCAGTGAGAGTGTGTTCGGCTGCAGTACCAAACGCTTCCACTAGAGGAAACTCTCCATTCGTTTCCAGTGCGTCATTTCTGATCGTGAGGAGCACAAGTGTGACTGTTGTTTTCAGGACCTTTTAACCTTTTCGAATCATGTCCATGATTTTTGTGTGTTTAACTTTACATAGCAAGTGCCAAAACCTTTACCAAGTTTCGTACCATTCCGATGAAGTAAAAAAAAAAAAAGTTACATTTTTCAGTCAAAAATGACTGAAGAGTGTTAGTGATGGACGATATTTCCTTCACAGTTTTTAAGAAAACACGTTCCGGATCAACACGGTGTTCCAATGATCAGCTCAACCGGAGCGTCCTTGACTTTATCGAAGAACTCCGCGGGCGACGTTCCCGACACGATCTTCAGCTTCTCCTCCTGTACGGGCGATGAAAGTGACGAGGAGATGGCGGTTGCGTTAGTGGACGAAGACGTGGACGAAGAATCCGGCGGGAGACACTCGTCGCAACAGCAGCAGCAACAGTCCATAAACGCCTGGCCGAGAGAACGACTGACGCAGAGCAGCAAAACGGGCGTCGCCGCCGCGCGAACGAACAACAAGAACTGGCCAATCAGAGCGAGGAGTGCCCGCGTAGCCACGCCCACTTCCACTCCTGCGGACGCCAACACAATATTCCAAGCGTTCTCCGGCAAGCTGCACACGGCGTATACGGATGCTAACGCCACCACCGTACGTGTTAGCTGACGCTCCTGCCGCTGCTTCTTTGGAGACGATGACGCGGACGACGCGGCGGATGAAGGGCGTTTCTCGTCGGCGACGTGTCGTGTTAGCAACTGACACGCGCCGGTGAACAATAGCGGCAGGCAGAAGAAGCACCCGAA